GGTGGGTAGTAATTCAATCCAGGTACAATGGTCTAATACTTTTGAGGGATGGGTGCTTAGGTGACCCAAGCTATCAAGTTGCCCCATACCTCAGACAGGTCAGTGATCATGTACTATGGTAATCAAGAAATTCAGAGGAACAAAAATATGACTGTGTTTGAATTAAATATATTAGGTTTACATTAGGTAACTTAATGCAACTACAGACACATGACTAATGTCAACATGTTACACAAATGTTCTCTTGCTTAACTACCAATCTTTCCTCATTTAGAATTCATCAAGTCTCCCACCTACAAGTGGCTAAAAGCCAGATTTCAGCCTGGCATGGCTCTAGCTGACCTTGTTTTGTACTTCTACCCCCACCAACTCTTGCATTCCTTGATTGTCTTGGCTGCCTTTTGTCTCCTCTTGTCCTTTCAACTCCCAAGGAGTGCTAACTGCAAGCTGCCAGTGTTACTGTGTATGTTCGGCCCTTTTCTGCAGTTGCTACCTTTCTACCCTGTCTCCGCCCTGATAGTGCATGTCTCAGTCATAGCACTAGAGAAGTCCGTATGGTTCGTGGTGTTTCTGTCCCTTGATACATGCTCTTCTCCTAGGAATGTGATTCCTCAGTGCTTTTCAGTCAAGCGAATTTTTTTATCTTTCACCTCTCCCCTCAAAATTTCCAAAAAATTTCCCCAACTTTCCAGGGTATGTGGCACACCGGGAGAGATTCTTTTTTAATTGTTGGGACTTGTTTCAATTTTGAACCATCTTTCTTACCTAAGGGTAAGTTTTGATAGGTGTATGGCCCCAAACTGTGAGCACCTTGAAAGGAAACTACATTTTGCCCCCAACACCTATCCTCATTGTTTAGCTTATAATAAATTTCTCTTAATATTTCAACATGAGCAAGGGGACTGAGATATCACCTATCTAGGTAATGTAGTGCATTGCCAATCAAGACTCCTCTGTTCCTTGCTCCTAAAGCCACAATTCTGAGTATTCCAAGCTGGTACACTCTATCCATCTATGGGTGACCCCATTCCCTAGGTGTTAGACTAACTGCTGGGCTGTGTGAATCTTTGTTTCTTTGAGGTGCTTTGCCATTGTTTCTCAAGGGGTCACTTATTTATTGGCCATTTGACAGCCCTACACTATGTCAGTTCTGAAGGGCTCATTCTGGTTACACAGAGAGGCTAAGCAGTACAACGTGGTAGTGTCTAAGCATGCAGGCTTTCATCTGTAAAGACTTGGGTTTGTTTCATGTGTGATGTAGGACAAGTTACCTAGCATCTCTGTGCTTGGTAATAAAGGGGTACTGGTACCCGAGCTTCTTTTGAGAGCTGTATTGGTAAGGTCCTGGCAGACCTGATTTCACCTAACTCTTCAAATGAACTGCTTACAGACATCTGAACAAAGGTAAAGGAGTCACACAGAGACTAGCAACAGTAGGAAGCCATTACCACCTAAGTCTGAAAGGACAAAGGGAGGAACAGTGTTACCTGAGCCCACTGAAAACTGTATCAAGGTGGGTGGGGAGAGGCAGCCCCAAGGGAACTGTATAGTGAGAGATACAGCTAAGGCTGGAGATGCAGCGCAGAGCATGAAGTGGCGATGGGTGGATATATCCTGTTGCTCTTGTCCCACTCTCGAATTGCCCGCTATCCATTGGTTGAACAGAAATGGCAGTCAGGAGGCAAATTAGCCTGGAAGGTGAAGTCTAGGGTTCTACTTCCTGATACACAGAAAAGGGCATAGATGGTTTTAGAGAAGGGGCTGAGGGACTTAAGAAATGAATAAGCACAAGATCAAATGAGAAAACAGTTTCTCTACAGTATCTGGCACAAGTAAGTGCTCCAGGAACAGCCCTACAGCTCTGTATTGCTGTGGTGTAAGCTCTGTATTGCTTTCAGCTACACCTGATGCCACCTTAGCCCCTTTAGGCTAAAACCACAGGAATCTGATTTCAAGTCACAAGACTTGCTTTAGGAATGCGCCCTCTGCGGTCTGCTCAGTCTCACAGCTCTATTTCTCCCAAAACCAGGATTTAATGGCCCAATCCGTTTCCCAGGTGTGGAACAAGTGTTAGAATTCCTAAGTGAAGTACTTTGGAGGAAAGTGTCCACTGGGCATCTCAGATCCTTTTCCATATAGCTACTTTCCTTTCCCTTCTCTAACAAGCTGAGACAAAAAGGAGGTGCTAATGGAAACCTTACATTCCAACTGCTGCTGCCCTTCGTATAAAATACATAATTTCACAGGGGCTTAAAAAAATTGTTTTCTAAAATCACTCGGCTCACTGCGGTGTTTCCTCTGCTATGCTTTCATCCGTCACTGTTCCAAAGTGCCAGAGGATCTGATGTTCCCTGTCCCCATTGCTGCCTGCAATCACTACTGAGATTGCCAGAATGCTTCTCTTCCTTGCCTCCCCTCTTTGGTCTCTGGTCATCTTTCCCATTCTTGTTTTCAAGCTCGAAAACGACCTCTTAGTCCACACTGCCAGTCAAACTGTTCCTGTCCTCAAGGCAACTAACAGTTCACCACAGGTGAGATAAAATCATGGGTCTTTTGACTTCTTGGCTGCTTGCTTGTGGGCTAGTGTGCCGGATTTGAGGTTTCTGAAACATCCCTACACTGTAGTAAAATTTGTGCAGTTTAGTGGAGGAAGTCAGTGACTTGACTTTTGAGTATGACTTAGAAAAGCAGAGCATTGTGACTCCAGAGCAGGGAAGGGGAGGGAAACTCTTCCCCACCACCCTTGGGGACAGCAAGGTGAACCAAAACAAAGGCCCTTTAGAGTTGGGTGAGAAACTGCCAATCAGTAGTTAACAGTTGTTACAAGGTCCTCAAAGGAACACGGTTCCCATGCATAAGTAGCTTATAAGGTTAAGAACTAAATGGAAACCATTTAGCAAAGTTGTATTGGGGGAACAAAATTGCCGTTTTGGGTCCAACTGACTCACTTAATTCAATCTTTAGGTCTCTCCTGATGAATTTAGTAAGTAGGTCGTCCTCTTCAGAGGTGTAAACCTGTGATAGGTCAATTTGTAGATTGGCACTTTTAGTCTTCTACAATAGGAAACTAAGTTTTAGAACTCACTTTCTTTACTACAAAATAAAACTATAGCTACATTAACTTTCTGCATCAGGGTGGGGTTTGTAACCTCTGACAGGAAGGATAGAGAGAATAATATCTTTAAATTTCATGTTTTTTTAAGATTATACATCCATATTAAAAAAAAAAGGAAATGCTTAGCATTTTTTATTTAGTGATTGCTGACTAAAAGGTAGAAATGAAATCCCTGGGCTCTACCCTCAAAAACTGAACATCTTAGATAAACAAGATAAAGTTTATAAATTATCAGAAGTTAACATCAACATAAGCATACTTTATGAACCCAAAGATTGGCCAAATAATCTAAATTGTGTGGGTTCCTAAAATATGTGCACTGGATTATTAATGACACATGAAATGCATGAATTTCAGCATTCTTAATATATTCACTTCAGAGACTTGTAGCTTGAAAGCTATTTAGAAAACAATACTGTGCATTATTAGGATTCAAACCAAGGTATAAATTTTGTCATGAGAACCAGGCAGACAGGATTTAATAGGATTAATCGTAGCTTCCAAAGTAAATTCTGAAAGAAACAAAGGAAGTGACCTTCATATTCTAACAAGTCAATTCAAACACCATTAATGTCATCACTTAACACAGCTTATCCGACTCTGAACAATTCTATTATTTAAGAGCTAGGTCAGAATTAGGTATGTTAATCTAAGGCTAAGGAATGCATAGTCACCTAGGCCCTCTTGCTATACCCAAGGACAAAGTTAATAACCCATATTCACACATCTGTTTGATTAGTGAACAAGGAAGCTCATTCTCGGCAGTGTTAATATTGTTTAACAAAAACATATCCTAAAGTCAGCCAGCCTATCTTACCTAGTCAGCACTTAACACACTGCCCTTCTTTAACCATGGCAGAAGGAGTGATAAAACTAAGACCACCTAAAGCCAAGTTGTAGTGTGTCTTTTTCTTCTAAGATATTCATATTTGATTTAGTCATTTTAATCAAGTGAGACATACACAACAAAGTACTGTTACTTCTCCAAATTTTCACCATAAAAATTTTCATCATTTGTTTAAACAATTCCTACCATAAAAAAAAATCCTGCCATGTTATAGAACATAAAACTCACCTATAATTAAATTTACAAAGTGAAAGCTACACTTCAAGTAGTGTTCCCGATAATTGCTAATCTAAAAAAGTTAGCTTTAAATGAGAAGAGGGAGGGAGCTAATAACAATTTCCCCACCAACACTGGATGAAGTGTGTATTCAAGGAATATTACCTGGTAATAATAAAGGATAGACTCAGCAACATAAACTCTCAAAAAACTGAAGTCATACACAAAATGGGACATAACATTGCTTTCATTTTTATGAATTTCTAGGAAAACAACACTTACTAATGAAGACAGATGTCAGACAAGTTATGTGGAGAAAGGAGCATGAGGGTATTTTCTGAAGCAATGGAAATGTTCTGTATCTTTATTGGAGTTGTGTTTATCAAACTTCAAACTATACCAAAAATTCAAACTACATGTTTAAAATCTATGCATTTTACTGAATGTATATTGCAGCCTTAAGAGGAAAAATACTTCATCTAGTGGGGCCTAAAGCTAAGTACATTGTATCACTACAGAAAGCATTTGACTACTCTTAGCACTATTAAAAACCAACACAGGTCATTCAGAAAGCATATATGAAGCTTTAATTCACCGTGGGCGTTTCTCTGACCATTCACTATATACTATAATGAACTTTTCACACAGATTCATCTTTTTATAAGACACAGTTTTCTTCCAAGAACTATACTACTGTTCCATTAAACAGTTAAAGGCATTTTATAAATATCATGATCCACTGATTAAATATAAATACAGAGGCCAATACATATTAGAAAGTTTAAACATTCTTAAAAAGTTTAAGAAAGGCTAAATACCATGAAAGTTTACATGTATTCTTTAATTCTAGATATCACATTACAGTTAACAACCAATCACATACAATAAAATCACAACTGCATTTAAATAATACATTCAAATTTCTAACATCCAATTATCTTTATTTCCACAATGGTCAACTCCACTAGGTTTTCCTTTCTACAGAGAATATATCAGCTTTCAAAATGTGGACCAAATAACAAAGAGTTACTACCTTGCTCATGATTACAGGAAATTATATACTGTACTACACAGATTTTATAAATATAGAATGTTGAACTTTTCAGTGGTAGTGTTCAAGAGAAATTCAAATTGTAGCCTGAAAATGGGTTTTGTTATTGTGGTTGTGTCTGTATATTTCATTTAAAAATGAAGCCTCTGTCAAAACATTTACAAATAAATATATAATTTTTCCCCCTCTAAAATACTGCCTGGAAGAAAGTTTCAAGCTGACTCAAGGAAAAAACTGAAAAAAATAGACCTCAGGAAAAAAATGATGTTCTGAGCTACAATCTTCCTGTGTCTGTTTTCAACTGAAACAGATTTTGCAGACAATTCTACAGGGCTTCTGTGTCCACAGTCTAAGGGAACTCCTTGAATATCTAGTTCATATCCTACAGATATCTGAAAGGATTCCTAAATAATCCTCCATCTAACTACACATAGGAAAGCTGATCATGTTTTGTATTAAAATCTATACAAATAGTCATTCTTTTAAGTGATACTAGAATAAGTGACAAAAAGATATGCACAGCTGAAAGCAGATCACCATTAAATACAGGAAAAATTCCATGTGATGCATATCAAATAAGCTTTCAAAAGCCAATTTGAATATATTTTCATTTATTTTGACACAGCATATAGTTATAGAAACTGCTGAAAACAGGATGCTCTTAAGTGCTCTATTAAGCATTAGGCATGCACCATAGTTACCTTTAATTTTTTCTCATATATATACATATATATATCTTAACATTCATATTTACAAACTACAAGATGTTTAAAGCACTTCATAATTTTTAAAACAAATATTTTAACTGACCTATGTCTAAATGGGGAAAAACAAAAACTTCCTCCCCTGTCTGAACACCCAATGGCACTATTAATAAGCCTTATTTCCCAGTATGAATTTTAAACTTACTTTATGTATAACATCCTTAAATTTTCAGGAGTGATGAAATACTTATCACTACTAAATTACGATTTTCTGGCAGCAGTCACTCACCACACGCTCAGAGCACGCTACCCCTTTGGAGATTACATAAGAGTGATGTGCTGGTGGCTACAGATAGCAATAAGTGAACATCAGTCTTTTCTTTTTATTCTGGTATTTATTTCAAACTAAATAAAACCTTTTATTAATAAAAGCCAAACAATTATCTTCCCCTTTATTTAGTATCAATACAAGAGTAAACTAAAAACCTTTATTGTATTCAAGTGTGAGGCAAAATAGGAACTGTTTCAATTATACTAGGTAGTCAGGAGGGAGGATGGGAACAGAGTTTGTTTTTCTACTTAACAACCATTCCAGTCAAATAAGCACAAATACAAATTCAATTGCTTGGGTCTCGGTCATTTATGGCTTAAAGTCTAGGATTTGAAAACCACTTCAGGTTAAAATAATTTTATATGAATGCATAGATTGTATATGTAGGAAATCATGCAATAAAGGTCCTCATGTGCACTGGAATCTTGGTGAGGAAAGGGCATGAACAGTAATATTTCTTCCCTTTTATTGAAAGAATATGCCCAGCAAGATCCTTGCTTTGGGCTTATTCAAGATCCTGTTTGCCAGGTCACCCTGCTTTACTCAAAGTGATAATACAAGTCAGTGTCACAAGACATCAGCAATAAGGAACTTGCCTCAAGTGCAGGTGCTTTGAGGTCCTACTCAGGCAGAATGAGACTTTCAGGATCCTGCCATCCTGCTGCAAAGTCAATCTGAAGTACTTGACTAGCTAGAGTAGCAAATGGGTAAATGCTTAGAATGACCCACTGGCAATGTTTATTATGGTACTATCTTTTAAAAATCAATATGCCCTTTAAGTCTTCTGAGAATTGCTAGGATAAGATCCACATACTATTCCTGGTTTTGATAGGCCCCTACAACATGAGAATTGAACTGAACTACAATGATTGTAATATCATCTCTGTACATCCGAGCAAGTTCTTCAGGAAGACTAAGCATTTTAGAGAGGCGTTCATGATCAACAGCCCCAAACTCATTGTTGCCCACAGCATGGCGAATGAGATGGGTTGCTGCATTCTGATCCTCGAATACTGAGGACATCTTGGCTCTCCTTTCTGTTAAGAGACCATGCATCTGTCCTAGAGTCACCTTGTAACCACCAACAGCTATTGGCTGTTGGTGATGCATGCCAGTTAGGTACTCACCCACAATCCTAACCACATCCTGCCTATGCATTGTCTCCCATAACCCATCAGTAGCCAACACCAGAAACTTATCCTGTGGCCTTAAACGGTGGTAAGTTACTTCTGGCTCAGCAGTGAGATAAGGAGGTGTATAATAATTAGGAGGAATAAACTTGGTGTATTCATTGTCATTTAACTGGTCTGGACCAGATTCTATCACCCTCTTTTGAAGGTCAATGCTCCATTTGAACTTAACATCTCCAAAAGCCCTAAAAGGCATCAGCAAGCCAAGAAGCCGATCCTGCTTCACCACACTTTTGGCCTCATTCTTTGGGTGTTCCAATTTCAGCCGTTCAAGTTCTCTCTCATTCTGAGCATTGTGATCATTAGAGAGAGTAAGTGCTGACCAAGAACCATCCTCTTCCTGTACACCAAGCATGGCTCTGCTATCACCAGTATTGGCTACATGAAGGTCAACACCATCCACATGGGCCACACAAGCAGTGGCTCCAGAAAATGCCACTCGAAGCACCAGATAGTTGAGGAAAGAATTGGGATCACCAACTTGAGCCTCCAAGGAGATATCATTATCGAGCCTCTTGAAAGCGTTAATCAATGCCTCTTTAACATCAATATCAGATGACTCCCCAGTATTGAGGTCTATAAGCTCTTGCCAATAAGTCCTCAAGCTGTTGAAATACAGCTTGGATGCCTCCTTACTGAAGTAATCATTGGGGTGTTTGTGCCATTGGAGAATGGGCAGTAGTGCCCGGCCACTCTCCACAGCATTTTCAATCTCTAGCAAAGTCTCATGGGGTAACAAAGAGACAGCAATATAATAAAAGAGTCTTTCACTGACTGCCTGGGAACAAGCACAGCCTGCATGACCATCAAAAACTCCCAAAAGCATCCCTCTGGTCTGCAAGCAGGTTGCTGCACTTCTCCGGTCCTCAATGGGTGCATTTGCAGGTAGTTGATTGCTGTCAAATCCAAGGACAGAACTGACATTTTTGCCATCAAATTCTGGCACTTTGAAACTGTACTCATTAGCTTTCAGGATGCTGTTGACTTGTGGAGGCGTGAGGTAAAATTTCTGTGGTGTGGAAGCATATCGTCTTCCTTGGGTATATTGCCACCAGTTCTCCTTTGGCCTGCAGAAGGTAGCATATGCCGGATGGGGTGTATACCTCAAGCGACTCTGGGAAATATAAGGGGGTGAGCAGCAGAGATGTTTGTGGTGGCAGTAACACGCAGTGCCATAGATTCTGCTCAGTTCACAGTTACGGATCAGAGGGAAAAACAGTTGAGTTGGTGCTGGCATGGCATCAGAAAACAGCGGCAGGCTGGAACTTCTGACTGGGATTCCTAGACAGCAAATTACATAGATACACACACAATAAGAGTTACATTTCAGATTACTTTATCTATCTTTGCCTTTGTGACAAATATTCAGCAGGTAAATCTACATGCTAAGTAAATTCTGTGCTGTATGTACATATCAGGTACTACTTCCACAGTGCTTAGTCAATTACCAATTATTTACAGAGCCAGAGCTGATCTATAATCTAGATTTACTTTTTTTTCTACACATTTTTCTGTACAGCACAAACTGCAGAATGTACAACAGATTTGGCTAAAGAAAGCTGAGATGAAGATTACATAACATGATGCAGTGGCAGTGTACCTGGCCAATCATTCTCCCCCTCTATCCTTAAAAAGGATACTTCCCCATTTATGAAGATCTTATTTCTAGATCTGTAGTCAATTGTTAGCACTTGATTGTACATATGGATATCACCAAAAAACTGTTATGATACAGCCCTAAAATACGTGCATTAATGAATTACTGGTAAATTACATACATATACTACTGTATTAATGTAATGTTCACTATGACACAGAAAAGTTCTATAACAAAAATAAGAACTCAAATATTCCCTTCCTGCACCCAGTGGGTGGTCTTATAAATAATATTCCTTTAAACACTATGTAAATTTGGTGAGCTTAGCCACCAAATAGGTCTATCTACCACTTTGCCATGTAATCCTGGGAATGTCAGTTTACCTCTTTGGATCTCACTTTCCTAATCTGTAAGTGAACACACTGGAGCAGATGCTATCTAAGTTCTCTCCTAGGCCTTTGTGTTTGTTGAAGTGAGGCTTTGAAATCAAATGGTTTTTATTTATTCATTGTTCAGCTTTATTATACCCTTTCCAATAAAAAAGTAAGTATCTTAATCGCTTTAACTTTATTAGTAGCATAAATGGTTTCAGTTCAGGAACTGAATTTACTTGCTGACATTTTCTCTGCTTATCAGTCATAAGGGACAGCTATAGAAATATTACTTCATGTATTATGAAGGTCACGTAGAATTTACCCCTAAAATATATTTTATTTTAAAAAGTATCTACATGCTCTTAGAAAGCAGTAAAAAACTGCAGTGAAATAATGATCTAGCAGTCCAGGCTTTGGATAAAAATGATACAATATGATGATCATGAATAAAAGTCATTACCACTCACTATGTAACACTGAAAATATTTTGCTGGGCACTTATCTAGAAAATTTAATGAATGTGCATTACTTCCAAGATAATTTATTCAAGAAAAAAAAATTCCTCTTCTTCCTCAGGAAGATTTACTTCCAATGAAGCATCAGGTATTGCCTTAAAGTACTCATATCCTATAAAGAAACAGGATTGAGAAATACTTTAAATAACAAAACAAATGTAGTAAACAAAAAGGAATAAGGAACTAAACCCATGAATCAATATAAGGTACTCCTTCCTGTGGCTGAATCCATTAAGAAAAAAAATTTACATATATTGAATGTTAGCTATATTTTCACATACTCCCTTTTGAAGGGAAATTTGAAAAGTGCTATCGGAATGTGTGGAAAAGACGTAAACTAACACCAAATAATGCTTCTTGTTTGCTTCCGTAATAAGCACTGCGTAAGCCAATTAGACAGAACTCCCTTTTAAGAAGCACCAATATTTCAAACATTATTTAAAAAGAGATTTGATTACAAATTTGAAGACAAGATTAAACAACAGAAGGCAATATTTGAATTTTGGAAATGAGATCAAAAACAGAGTTAGTATAAAACACAATAGTGAAAAACAGAAATTCTAGAATAATAGGAATGTATCAAGACTAGCCACTTAAATAACAGCACTTCAAACTGAATACCTGAAAGTCATCCAAAGGTTAAGTGTACATGACTGAGCCAGGAGATGTGCTCAAATGTTGGGTCACATGATGTTGGCTTCCAGACAAACCATATCTCTAGTTAGTTTTGCATGTAGCAAGAACATTACTCATTTCATGCTTATTAAGATACTAGTAAAAATGTAAACAAATATCAATTTTAATGAAAAGAAATTTTCCCTGTTTTGTACTTACTTCTAAACTTAAGTCTCTTACAGGATGGAACATTGATTAAGTCAAAGAAATTGTGTGTGTGTGCGCGTGTGTGTGTGTTTGAGAGGATGATAGATGCATGTCTGTGTTTGGTTATAAGTCTAACCAAGGAAAAAACAGGTCTAAGAAATATCCACTTTCCTCCCAATCCTTTGACTATCTTACTGTTTTTTCGCTGATTTAAAAACCAATGAAAATGTGTGGCAAAAGAACTAATGGTTCATGCAGCAGACACTTGAAAAACAAATTCAAACAGGAAACACTATTCATAATCTACAGTTTTCTGTCAAAGCAAGTTCTTGAAATTAAAAACAAAAAAGAATGAATTTTGTCAACAGTAACTTTTACTTATTCAGGAGTGTACCCCAATACTACAAATTCCAATATGCCTTCAAAAGACAAATTCTAAGAGAGGTGAAATTTATGAAAATCTGCTCTGTGATTTAGGAGTTCTATCATCACAAACAAGTACGTAATAAATTATGTACATGGGGAAGTCAAAGTACTTTTCAAACACTTGCATTCAAATGTTCTGACTGCTCACCATAAATAAATATTCACAGACTCAAGGATCTTTCTGAATATTCTGATTTGACAATAAAATCCCATGTCATCATAACTTCTGTTAATAAACTTTCTAAATTAATAACAAAAAAAGCTCTTGATTAGACAGTAAAAACAGCAACAAGGTAGTTATTGGAAAACTGGAGTAGTGTCAAATTTTCAAGTTATTTCTGGCCACCATGTCACTGAAAGTTCCTATCCTATGATTCAGACCAATACGTTATATGCAGCATCTTACTCCTAGGCAGATTTGGCCGATTTTGCCAATGACTAATAAGGAAAGATGTCCTGCAACACGAAATAGGAAAGAGACCTATCCATTCTTAGTGATGTGTTTGGCAGAACCTCTGCCAAGAAATGACTCTACTTCATCAATAAAACCATAAATTAGAAAATGCTGTTACTGCACTTAATAACCAGCCCTTCCGATTTGCAATGTTTTGGGTGAAAATGGGGGGGAAATGCTATAGTGGTCATTAAATGTGCAGGAGCCTCAGTTTATGTAATCCGATTGCATTAACCACGCTGCACAAAGACTCTTTCCAATTTTTCTGCATTTTCTGGAAATGCCTAGCCATTTCACAGTCCCTGTTATCTCTAAGTGAATGAAGACACAAAACCCTAAGCCAGCACTTGTTTAGTTTCCTTTGTCTATACCTGAAAATTGCACTCGCTAAGGCATCAAAGCTACCCAGTCCAGGATGCCTTTCTCCCCTTTTCCTATCTACCTCATCTCCTAATTCAACACAGACCCGCTAAAAACCATCCACACACAAAATCAATCACCATCATTCCTGGGTACCAAAATCAGTCACCATCATTCCTGGGTACCCAACGCAGGTAGTTAAGTGAATACCTACCAATTCGTCTGGGCCCGGGACACACACACATTCTCCTGTCATCACAACACGGAGCCGACAACATCCACAACCCGCGCGGACAGCAGCAGCGACAGCAGCACCGGCCCATCGAAAGCAAGGCAGAGATGCTCATTAGAGGAGGCGGAGGCAGGGGAGGCGGGAGCGGAGGAGGGGCGAGGTCTCGCTCCAGCAGGGTGAATGGAGCTGGGAGGAGGGACGAGGACCAGGAGAGAAAGGGGTGGGGAGGAGGAGGAAACCAAACAAACCCACCCCGCCACAGACACAGAGGCAAAGCCACAGTCCGAGAAGGCGGGGACCCAGATGCCAGCAGAGACGCGCCCCGGTGCCGGCCCCAGCATCCAGCCCGGGCACGGAGCCCACAGGCGTGCGGTATCCTCCGCCAGCCGCCACCCCCCGCCCCAGCTCAGCCCCACGCGGCAAGGGCTTCAGTTCAGAAAACCCTGGTGGGCGCGCAGCGGGCTGCCTGTGGGGTGACCCGGACCCAGAGCAGAGGAGGCAGAGGCGGTGACACCACGCCGCACTTCCCCAGTGCTCATCCTCTCGCGGGGTCCTCGCCGCGCCCCGGGTGCTGACAGCCAACGCCGCGGGTCCGCCCCCCAACCCGAACCCGCCGCGGGCCCTCAGCGCCCGTACTCCGGCCCGCAGACCCGACGCCCTCGCGCGCACCTGGCGCTCCCGGGCTTGTCCCTCGCCCAACGCTGGCCCGCCCTCCGCTCGCTAGCGGCCGCCGTTCCCCCACGCGCGCCGGCCCCCTGCCCCCCACAACTTTGGGCGGGTGAAGGAGGATTCCGATGAGGCGGTTAGGAGCCGGGAGAAGGGGATACAAACCGGGCAGGGCAGGGTAGTAGCCGCTTCTTCCCGACGAGGCGGCGGCGGCACCGCCCGGCGCTCCTTCCACGCAGCCCCGCGCAACTCCCCGGAGCGCGGCCCCTAGCTCGGGCCGGCCCACTCGGCTTCCCCGTCCCGCCCGGCCGCCACCCAGCCCCGCCCTCAGATTCGGGGTGGAGAGCTCCGCGTCTCCGGATTGGCTGCGCAAAGGAGAGTGGGCGGGGAGAAAGAAAGCAAGCCTAGGGGGCGGGGGCGGAAGAGCAGCGTGCTCGCCGCCAGTTTTGTGACGTCATAGGGGTCAGACAATCCCTTCCATTCGGTGCGCGTCGCCCATTGGTCTTCTGTCCCACCTCACGTGACCGCACCCCTTTGGCGGGTGGAGGGTGGGGCTCCGCGGCACTAGGCGAGCCGCGGCTGGCGGGATCGGCGAGTTTAGGTTGGGTTGGCGGCAGCCTGGGGCAGCAGGAAGCGCCTGGACCCGCCCCTGCATCGCCACACAGTTGGGCCCTCTGGCAGCAGATGCTACCGGTTGGGTGGGCTTCCGCGAGTGCCTGGCACTTTGGCGGGATGTTGGCCTAGGCGAAGGCCCATCTGTGTGGCGGAACCTCCCTTCCACGCGCTTCTCTGGTGGGCCCAGGCTTCTTTGCGGCTCTGAGCCCAACGGAAAACTAAAATTGCCTATATTTCGCGCCAGCCTGGACTATAAAGCTCAACAAGCCGAGAATGGCTGTGGGCTCATTCATTTGATCCTTTACAAACTTTAGTAAGGTTGACTTGGGTAACTATTTTCTCTTGTTTTCTGGACACCTCTCGGGTCCTAGGTGAGGTTGTGATGAATTGTCCCTGTAGAGCAGTTGTGTGGTCATGTTCTCTGAGGCTTTGAAATGAGTATTGCCTCCTTTGCCCTAAAAGGAAACTTGGAATGGACCTGCATCCTAGTCATATACCCGGGGAAACTGCATTTGTGAGTTGAGGTTAGGGTTGGGGTGGCATTGGCATTTTAGGATTAAACAGGGATTCATCTCTCAGCCTTTCATAGGAACTGAGTCCTTAATGGTGGCTTCTGAAAGCTTCCTAGGACGCAATAGTAGATCATTGCATTTTTCCTACCTGGTGCTAGTGAGTTCACTTTGAGTTGTAGGCATGTCTACAAAGCTTGCAGAGTGCTGAGAGCTGGATATAAAAATACATGTAAACAGTACTGTGGAGTTTAATTTTTATTAATCTTAAATTTTCTGATTTTTCTGTAATAAAGGAAAAACGTTGTAGAATATAAAACAACCCAGAAACTGTGTCTTAATTCCTGGATCTTCATTTTCTCAACAAATTAGAGGGTTTTTTTTATTTTTTAAGTCCAGCTCTAGGCTACCTGTTGTGGCCAACAGCTTCCCATAAATGAGTAAATATGCTCAACTGCCCTTTTTCCTGTTGTGTAATTAGTCTAAGCATCTGGATTTTATATAAGGTGGTATAACAGAATGAAAAAGAGCACAACTTCTGGGGTCTTCCTGGATTCCAACCCAGCTCTGCAGTTCACTGAGTGGTCTTGTTCAACCTCTTGCTCAATTCTTTCATATATAGTAATAACTCAATGTGGTAGTAAGGGAGTTGATACAGATACTGTGCATAGCACAATAAGTACATAACAACTAGTAAGGGCTATATAATAATTACTATCCATAGCCAGTGTTCATTTTTAGACTAAGGACTCCTAGGAAATAGGAGACCCCCAAGTATACTATGTTCAGTACTAGTAAATTATTAATGGGCCAGAGAGTTAAAACCTTAGGATATCAGTTTAAAGTAATTTCATGAGGGATATTATAACAGGGCAGTCCCCAGGAAAAGGGGAGGTTACTACCTCCTAAACCTTACTTCACAGAAATGAAGTTTATGCTAGGCTTGTCTGCAAACTTTTCCCTAATGATTGCGCAAATAGGATAATGTGACTCCAGATTGTATGCATCTTTATGGATGACCTCTTCCAAGTTGTCACGTTGGTGGCATCTCTCCTTACTTCACCCCAGCATCCACTTGAAGTATACTTTTAAAATTACCTTTTTAGGTTGTTTTTGGGTCTGCACAGGAAACTCCAACTTGTTTATCTATAACCAGCACCTTGGTTTCTATGCCAAAATAGTATTGATTCTCCCATCTTATTCTTAGTTTTTAATGACCTGGTTATTTTTCAAAATAATACCCACTCTCAAAACTTATTTGTCATCACTAACTATAGTTAAAAAAAAAAAGAAAAAAAAACTTGTCTGAAATAAAAGGCCATGCCAGGGCATTTCTGGAATTGGTATGAAATCTCCCCAAAGTAATAGTTTTGAAATAAAGTTATTTAGAGGTGTGCATTTTGTTTTTAGCTGCAAAGTTGTATGTTTCAGTGACATATTTGTATGAAGTCATAGTTCTTCTGAAAAGGAACCAACTGCTTGTACCTGCAGGGAAATTCTTTAGTTTAATCTCAATCTTGACTCCCCTCTGGCCTGGTTCTTCCTGTCTTTAGATGAGACTCCATTTGGTCAATCAAAACACTTGTTTCAGATGTCCTATTTGTTATCACCTAGCTCTCTGGCCAGGCAGGTTGCTCTGACCCTACAGACTGTTTTGGACACCAGAACACCTGTTGATACTTTGACATTAGAAGATGTAGAAACACAGCCCTGGAACAACAGGATTATTGCAGAGAATGGTAGCAAAGAAGAGAAGAAGGGACTTCAAGAATAGTAAGACACAAAAAATTCTGTGCAAAAATACCTATTTTGTCTAACACCTGATATCTGTGATCAAACTGCAAAGGCAATTCGTTCCTGCATGAGACCCTTAACTCTTAGTTGATTCCTTGCCCTAGAATAAAGTGGGAAAGGAGCAAGTGCTTAGCCAGATTAGCCTATGTTCTTGTGGGCGGATGATAAACCCTGAGGGTATTGGAGGTTAGCTGTGACAACAGAGTCCAGCTCTCAGTGGTGCAAGCCAGGAAGCTTAAAATAGACCTGGATGTGGGACTGGATGCTGTGGGTCTGATGGTTACTGACTTACCAAACTCTTTGCCAAAATCAGCAATCAGCCATAACAGAGGCTGGCTCACACTCCTTTTTAGCTCCTACCTCCCCACGACTAGGAAATCAAGTAATTACAAAGTTCCTAAGCAATAGGTACAGGTTTTTATACCTAATATTGAGTGAGATTGCTTCTTTGAAATTAATTTACTTGGAATTATGTAGTAGGACCAATAAATTATAAGGAAGAAACAGAACTGAGGGTCAGAGGCTATGAAAGTTGCTTTCACACTTGTCTCAATTCTTTTTTCCCATTAGAATTCATGAGAATAGATTGTCCAGGGATAAAGAAAACAAAATTTCATTCTTTTGCAAAATTATGTATAAGAGTTTTCAGGTAGTAGGTAACTAGTTTCTGTGCACTGAATTAACATGAAATTGTGCTTTTTGGAACAATATGGATGAACCTTGAGGTTACTGTATTAAGTGAAATAAGTCAGCAAGTGAAAGAAAATTATTGGCTGGTTTAACTATTGAGGAATATAAACTGGCAAAATATTACAAAATAACTCATAGACTGAAAAATACTGTGATTAGAGGAGAGGAAGGAGGAGGAGAAAGGATAGCGGTGCTGTTTTCTAAGTCTACTGGCACTAAAGCCTTCCCTGGAGGCCCAGGGAAACATGCATCCACACTGAGGTATGAAACTGTGCTCCTGAAATTCTATGGTTATAGACAAAAGACAAATCAATAAAACTGGATGGAAAAAATACATATCAAAGAATACAAAAAGGAGATACACGAGGTTGCTTAGCTAGATGTTTAGGACTTTTAGAAAGAGAACTGCAGGTCTGTGGACCTGTGCATGGCACATTTTTTTAATATTCCCTATTAATGGGGGTAACTACAAGATGTGCGTTGCATGGGGGGGCCCAGTTATAGTCTAGCCATCGGAAAATCTGGCAAAATTATTTTTTTTCAGTCCAATTCTATGGAATAGATTCCTTAGAATGCAGAAGGCAAAAGGTAAAAGAACTGAGGACTTTGAGGTGCATTTAGAGCACTTTATAAACGGTGTCAGGTTAGAGTGCCTCTGAAGCAGGTCCTGCCAATTTGCAGACCATCGGGAGCTCCCCCATGATGAAATAAAAAATAGAAACTGCTGATTTGCACACTTCTTAAAAGCTACACTTCCCAACTGCTAGAGTGAAGTCTTCTAAAGCGAAGGGACCATGTTTCTTCCATGTACTGATATAAACCCATTGCCTGGCATAGTGGAACCTAACAGGAAGTGAGTGCTAC